TATTTATTTATTTATTTATTTATTTATTTATTTATTTATTTATTTATTTATTTAACTTATATGCTGCCCGCACGACCCAAAGGTCTCTGGGCGGCTTACAGCATTTAAAATACAATAAAAAGGCAAAATAAAAGGGCAAAATAATTAAATATGGTGGAAGATCTTGTTTCCAGTTAAATAAATCAGCAGTGGGGAATGGGGTATGGGCCAGAACTAATTTATTTCCCATTGGAAGCTCCATTAAGCGATCTGGGGGCACTCCCTGTGTGGTTTGTTTAGATCAAGGGTCCCCATCCCCCGGTCCAGGGCCCAGTGTTGGTCCGTGGGCTTCCTTCAACTGGGTCGTGGACATGGATCTCCACCCCCTGCCTGTATGCACAGGAGGGGTGTGTAACACTCACAGGTGGATGTGTCACGCTTGCGGGTGGGCGTGTTGCACTTTCGCAGCTACCCATTGGCTGGCGGGCAGGCCGGTGGTGCCTGCTACTGGCCGCGCCAAACCCCTGACAGCGAACTCTGCTGCTTCGGAGGGAGAAGATGGCCAGGCAGGGAGAGGGTTCCCCTTCTGGACTTGTGGGTGCTTCGAGGGGGGCAGGTGGGACCCAGTGCCTACGAGGTGGGGAGGGTCGGTGGGGGAGTTGCTCCGGTGCCTCCCGGGACCAGGGAGACAACTCTGAAGCAGGGCCCTTCTGGGAGCCCTGATGAGGAAGCCCCACGGTCGCCAAGTAGGTGTTGCAGCTGTTGCTCCTGCTACTGGTTGGGCTGAAATTAGAAGCCAGGCAGATTTTGAGAGTGGATGGGCGTGTTGCGCTTCCGGGTGGGCATGTTGTGCTCGTGCGCATGCACGCAAGCGTGACACACCCCTCTACAAGCACGACACGCCCACCCGCGAGCATTACATGCCCCTCCAGAAGCGTGACATGCCCCTCCGTGAGTGTGACATGCCCACCCACGAGCACAGGGGTGCCCCCGACCCCAACCAGTCCGTATATGGAGCCCACACCCCCCAAATGGTCTGCGGTCCCAAAAAGTTTGGGGACTGCTTTAAGCCAAGGGATTGTGTCCCAATCATTTGCCTTTAAAGGGCAAAACCATTATTGAAACTGCTACAGTGGTGCCTCGCTTAATGATGATAATATGTTCAAGGAAAATTGCCATTAAGCGAAAACATCGTAAAGCGAAATAAAAAACCCCATTGAAACGCATTGAAACCCGTTCAGTGCATTCCAGTGGGGTAAAAACTCACTGTCCAGCGAAGATCCTCCATACGGCAGCCATTTTTGCTGCCTGTATAGCGAGGAATCCATCCCTAAACACAGTGGGGAGCCATTTTAATTACCTGGTGGCCATTTTGAAACCGCTGATCAGCTGTTAGAAAAACGTTGTTTTGTGAAGAATCGGTTCCTGAAGCAGGGAACCGATCATCGCAAAGCGAAATTCCCCCATTTAAATCATCGTTTTGCGATTGCAATTGGGATCGCAAAAGATCATCGTTAAGCGGATCCATCGTAATGCAAGACAATCGGAAAGCGAGGCACCACTGTATAGGAAGCACATTAGTAACAAGTGTAAATATTGTCCCTCACCAACACTTTATTTATTTATTTATTTATTT